CCCTACAATTAAAAAAAAAAAAAAATTGGCCGGGCGCCGTGGCTCACGCCTGTAATCCCAGCACTTTGGGAGGCCGAGGTGGGTGGATCACGAGGTCGAGAGATCGAGACCATCCTGGTCAACATGGTGAAACCCCATCTCTACTGAAAATACAAAAAATTAGCTGGGCATGTTGGAGTGTGCCTGTAATCCCAGCTACTCAGGAGGCTGAGGCAGGAGAATTGCCTGAACCCAGGAGGTGGAGGTTGCGGTGAGCCAGGATTGCGCCATTGCACTCCAGCCTGGGAGCACCAGGCGCGGTGGCTCAAGCCTGTAATCCCAGCACTTTGGGAGGCTGAAGCGGGTGGATCACAGGGTCAAGAGATTGAGACCATCCTGGTCAACATGGTGAAACCCCGTCTCTACTAAAAATACAAAAAATTAGCTGGGCATGGTGGCGCGTGCCTGTAATCCCAGCTACTCAGGAGGCTGAGGCAGGAGAATTGCCTGAACCCAGGAGGCGGAGGTTGCAGTGAACTGAGATCGCGCCATTGCACTCCAGCCTGGGTAACAAGAGCGAAACTCCGTCTCAAAAAAAAAAAAATTAGCCTGATGTGTTGGCATGCATCTGTAGTCCCACCTACTCAGGAGGCAGAGGTGGTAGGATTGTTTGAGCCCAGGAGGTTGAGGCTACAATAAACCATGATTATACCACTGTTCTCTACCCTAAGCAACAGAGCAAGACCCTGTCTCTAAAATAAATAAATTCCAAAATTCCAAAGCTCAGGTCTTCTTTGCTATATGATTTCCCCTCTGCATGCTCTCTTAAACTTCAAGTACTAAATCTGTATAGCGCATATCCACATTATACCCTGAAACAAGTAGCCAGTAAGAACCTGCACTTTCCTTTGTGCTCACTGATAACCTTGCCTCTGGGAGGTAAACAGAACACATCTATGTGAAGAATGGCATTACTGCATCCATGCCCTTTGCTATGTGACTTGGCAGTGTATCCAACTAAAGGGGGACAGCATGTACTTCTCTATCCCTTGACTTCTGGGTTAGGCCACATGGCTTGCTTTAGCCAACAGAATGACAGGATGTCTGCTCTGAGTCAGGGCTGAGGAGCCTTTGGAATTTATGGTTTCTCTCTGACACTTCTGTTGTCACCATGAGGCGAACAAGAGAACCATTGGTAGGCCAATGGTTCAGGGATGATCACGAATACATGAAGCACAGATACCACAGCTGGTCTGTAGACCTGCAGGGAGGGGTCAGCCACCCAGCTGATCCCTGATGAACCTACAGTGGGTCTATAGATGTGTGAGTGATAAATAATTGGTGTTTTAGGTTACTGAGTGACAGGGTAGTTTGTTGTTGTTGTTTTCTGAGATGGAGTCTTGCTCTGTTGCCCAGGCTGGAGTGCAATGGTGTGATCTCAGCTCACTGCAACCCCCATCTCCTGGGTTCAAGTGATTCTCCTACTTCAGCCTCCCAAGTAGCTGGGATTACAGGTATACCCCACCGTGTCTGGCTAATTTTTGTATTTTTAGTAGGGATGGGTTTCGCCATGTTGGTCAGGCTGGTCTCAAACTACTGACCTCAGGTGATCCACCCACCCCAGCCTCCCAAAGTGTTGGAATTGCAGGTGTGAGCCACAGGGTAATTTGTTAAATATCAATAACTGACAGAATCAGCCTACTCAAGCTTCTGATCTGACAAGTTACAGAGATCACCACATTATTACCCAGTCATCCAACAGTAGATATAATAGTGATGATTCTGATGATAACAACACAAAAGTATTAATAGTTAACACATATTAAACACTGCATGCTAAGCAATTGCAAGGAATTAACTCCTTTAATCCTAGTATTAATCCCCTTTTATAAATAAACATTTTATTACAGAATAGTTATCTTACTATTATATATGTTACATATGTGTGGTATATTTGCCACAATTAATGAACGAATACTAACACTTTATTATCAACCAAAGTTTATAATTTATTCAAATTTCCTTAGTTTTCCCCTAATGTCCTTTTGGTTTGTTTGTTTGTGAGATGGAGTCTCAATCTGAAGTGCAGTGCCCAGACTGAAGTGCAGTGGCACAATCTCAGGTCACTGCAACCTCTGCCTCCTGGGTTCAAATGAATCTGGTGTCTCAGCCTCCTCCAAGTAGCTGAGACTACAGGCGCCCACCACCATACCGGTCTAACTTTTTTGTATGTGTTTTTTTATAGAGATGGGGTTTTACCATGTTGGCTAGGGTGGCTGCAAACTCCTGACCTCAAGTTATCCTCTTGCTTCGGCCTCCCAAAGTGCTTGGGATTACAAAGCGTGAGCCACAGTGCCCAGCCCTAATGTCCTTTTTCTGTTTCAGAATCCCATCTATCACATTACATTTAGTCATCATATCTCCTTAGGCTCTGACAATTTTAGCTCTCTCCCCTTTTATTAAAATTTATTTTATTTTTTTGTTAACAGTTTTATCGAGATATAACTCACATACCATACAATTCACCCATTTAAAGTGAGTAACTCGGCTGGGTATGGTGGCTGATGCCTGTACTCAGGAGGCTGAGACACAAGAATCGCTCGAGTCCAGGAGGCAGAAGTTGCAGTGGGCTGAGATTGTACCATGCACTCCAGCCTGCGTGACATTGTGAGACTGTGTCTCAAAAACAAAAAAAAAGTGCAGCTGGGTGTGGTGGCTCACACCTGTAATCTTAGCACTTTGGGAGGCTGAGGTGGGTGGATCACGAGGTCAAGAGATTGAAACCATCCTGGCCAACATGGTGAAACCCTGTCTCTATTAAAAATACAAAAATTGCCGGGCACGGTGGCTCAAGCCTGTAATCCCAGCACTTTGGGAGGCCGAGGCGAGTGGATCACGAGGTCAAGAGATCGAGACCATCCTGGTCAACAGGGTGAAACCCCATCTCTACTAAAAATACAAAAAATTAGCTGGGCATGGTGGCGCGTGCCTGTAGTCCCAGCTACTCAGGAGGCTGAGGCAGGAGAATTGCTTGAACCCAGGAGGTGGAGGTTGCGGTGAGCCGAGATTGCGCCATTGCACTCCACCCTGGGTAACAAGAGCGAAACTCCATCTCAAAAAAAAAAAGAAAAAAAAAATACAAAAATTAACTGGGTGTGGTGGAACATGCGCCTGTAGTCCTAGCTACTTGGGAGGCTAAGACAGGAGAATCGCCTGAACCTGGGAGGCCAGGGTTGCAGTGAGCCAAGATCACGCTTCTGCACTCCAGCCTGATGACAGAGCAAGATTCTATCCCCCCCCACCAAAAAAAAAATGTGGATAACTCAATGGTTTCCTAGCATACTCAGAGTTGTGCAACTGTCACTCCAATGAATCTTGTAGCATTTCATCACCCCAAAAAGAAATCTTGTATCCTTTACCTATCACCCCCAACTATTTCTCCTTTACCCCAGCCCTAGGCAAGCACTAATTTACTTTGTCTCTAAAAATTTGCATATTCTGGACATTTCATATATTTGGAATCATATAAAATGTAGTATTGGCCAGGCGTGGTGGCTCACGCCTGTAATCTTAGCACTTTAAGAGGCTGAGGCAGGCAGATCACCTGAGGTCAGGAGTTCAAGACCAGCCTGGCCAACATGGTAAAACCCTGTCTTAAAAAAAATGTAGTATTTTGTGATCAGTTTCTTTCACTTACCATGTTTTAAAGGTTCATCCATGTTATAGTATGTATCAGTCCTTCAATGATTTTTACGGCCAATAATATTCCATTGCCTGTATATACCACATATAGTTTATCTATTCATGAACTGATGGTTGGTTGAGCTATTTCCACCTCTTAGCTATTGTGAAAAATACTGCTGTGAACATTCACATACAACGTTTTATGCAGACATATGTTTTCATTTATCAGGTCTATTCCTAGGAGTGGAATTGCTGGGCCAAGTAGTAACTCTATGTTTATCTTTTTGAAGAACTGCCAGACTGTTTTCCAAAGTGGCAGTACCATTTTACATTCCCATTTAGTCCTTTTTTCACAGATAACAAAAAATTGAACCCCACAGGGACTAAGTAATTTGCCAAAGCATCATAATAGGGTGGTGGTCCACCCAGGTGGTCTGCTGACTATACGCCGCTGATGGAGCCAAGGGAAACTGAGTTAACTCTGCTCTCACCATGTCTGCTTCTGGCCCTTTTGGGAAGGGTGCCTTATTCTCTACATCCTCTCTAGATTTGGAGCCCACGAGTTAATCGGGATGTGGAGAACAACAAGGAATCATAAAATGAGAAATAAAGTTATTGCAAAAAATGTTTTGATAAGAAAATACTTAATACCTGAGGTTTTTTTTAGCTTAACAAGAGAGCAAAGGTGCATATAGACAGTAGTTGAGGCCAAGTGTGGTGGCTCATGCCTGTAATCCCAGCACTTTGGAAGGCCAAGGTGAGTGGATCACTGGAGGTCAGGAGTTCAAGACCAGCCTGATCAACATGGTGAAACCTTATCTCTACCAAAAATATAAAAAATTAGCTGGGTGTGGTGGGAGGCACCTGTAATCCTAGCTACTTGGGAGGCTGAAGCAAGGAGAGTCACTGGAACTCAGGAGGCAGAGGTTATGGTGAGCCAAGTTCATTACCACTGCATTCCAGCCTGGGTGACAATGAGACTCTGTCTCAAAAAAAGAGAGAGTAGCTGACTAACATAAAAGGTTAATGTAATAAGAGTTCATGTGTGAGTCATTCTTTACCTCCTTGAATTAGAAGAAATACAATTTAACCTATAGAATAAGTAAACATAATAAAAACTTCCTCATCATTATGAGACACTGAAACTCTATAGGGACCCTTTGGAAACCCTCCAGGAACATTATTATTATGACTTACAATGTCCTAGCTAGGAGGCAGGAAGTAGACAAAATGTAGTCTCATGGCCCTAGGATTTCAGAAATTTTGTGCAAATAAATATGAACATGATACATTCTTTGGTCCACAGACTCAAAGTCCTTTAACCAGGACTGACTTACCCTGAATTGCAGATAGATATACAAAAGTGTCTTCATGTTCCAAGTTTTCCAAGAATATCTGGAACCACAAAATACAAGCAGTGATAAGATTTACAAAGAACAAGGAAGATTTAAGAGACTCCCTTATCAGCAGTTCAAAAGCGTAAATGTTTTGCTTCTTGTTTGTCTTAGCTAGGAACTGGTCTGACAGAGTTTTATGGGGGAAACGGCTTATACGTTTGAAGTTCCATTTTTATAACCATTAAAAAAAGGGTAGAGATTGGGGGTGATACTTGTATTCTTCCAGCAATAGTCCTGGAAACCAATGGAAGAACAATCCTCAACATTTTTTCAGTGACAGCCACGGTGAACAACATTCTCACATATGGCATGCCAGACTACAGGCTGTGACACACAAGAGACAAGGTTTGGGGTTATGTGCAATGGATGGCACATTTGCTGCAATTTAATCCTTTTCTCTTGTACTCACAAAGCATATGGATGTGCAAGTGAGACAGAGAGATTATTGAGATAACTTTGAATCTAATTTATTTTTGAAAATCCTGTAAATTTCAGCACTTTAATTGACATTAGTAACAAATTACTCTCAAAATATCTTATAATTTAGGAACCTATCAGGGGTATCAGCTACAGTGAATACAGCTTATCTGGAAGATACTACATGACATGTTAGGTTTAGACCCCAACACGAGAGCCAGAGAAAGGAAGACGGAAGTGTCTGCTCTATAAATAATGCTGTGTTCTTTGCTGGCACAGTGATTCTTGACATCAACTTGATGCTGCTGGTCTTTACATCTTAAGTATGTAAGGAGAGCCTAAAATTACCCCAGTTAGGAAGATGGCCAGGTTGGAAGGTAGGGAATCTTTTATAAAGTAAGGGAAGCTTAATTTAGGGTAATGGCCATGGAAATAAAGAGGATAAAATATATTTGACAGACTTCTTGGGGGCTGGGCGTGGTGGCTCACACCTGTAATCCCAGCACTTTGGGAGGCTGAGGCAGGCAGATCAGGTCAGGAGATTGAGACCACCCTGCCTAACACGGTGAAAACCTGTCTCTACTAAAAACTAGAAAAAAATAGCTGGGTGTGGTGGCATGTGCCTGTAGTCCCAGCTACTTGGGAGGCTGAGACAATAAATGGCTTGAACTCAGGAGGCGGAGGTTGCAGTGGGCTGAGATCACGCCACTGTACTCCAGCCTGTGCGACAGAACAAGACTCCATCTCAAAAATAAAAAAGAAAGACTTTTTGGAAAAAAGAATTGACAGGACTTGGTAACCAACTATGTACAGCAGATGAAGGTTTAATGAAGCTAAAAAAAATTCCAAGATCTTCATTGCGTTCACCTTCAAATAGGTTTGTGTAAAAGAATATTTTAAGTAATTACTCAAAGAAGATATATATTTGAGGTTTTCAGTAATACTTCCGTGACAGCAAACCCTTGCTATATTTCTGTGCCTTGCTTTTCTTATCTGTAAAATGGGGATAATACCAATACTGCAGTTGTTGTGAGGATTAGAGACAGTATCTATAAATATGGCCTGGCTCAATAAACAGTAGTCATTATTATTATACAATTGGTTCCAATAATTTGTTTACTAAAAATAAATGTTTAAATCAGAATTATAATTCTTTTTTTTTTTTTTTTTTTTTTTTGAGACAGAGTTTCGCTCTTGTTACCCAGGCTGGAGTGCAATGGCGCGATCTCGGCTCACCGCAACCTCCGCCTCCTGGGTTCAGGCAATTCTCCTGCCTCAGCCTCCTGAGTAGCTGGGATTACAGGCACGAGCCACCATGCCCAGCTAATTTTTTTGTATTTTTAGTAGAGACGGGGTTTCACCATGTTGACCAGGATGGTCTCGATCTCTTGACCTTGTGATCCACCCGCCTCGGCCTCCCAAAGTGCTGGGATTACAGGCTTGAGCCACCGCGCCCGGCCCTAGAATTATAATTCTTAAACTAATGGCTAGGGCATATAGAAGAGGTCATGTCATCGTCATCGTCGTCATCATCATCATCATCATCATCATCATCATCACAACTGAGGCTCAGAAAGTTCAAATGTCTAAGAAACTGATCTGGGATGTGATCCCAGGGAGTAATCTCTAGACCCCTTGCTCTTAATCTCTAAGCCATACTGAGGTCAGGACAAATTCCACAAAAGGGAAAAGATCCCTAGCTAAGCACACATATTCTCCCACATAAATCTATAATTTAAAGAATGGCTTTTGGCCAGGTGCAGTGGCTCATGCCTGTAATCCCAGCACTTTGGGAGGCCAAGGTGGGCGGATCACTTGATGTCAGGAGTTCAAGACCAGCCTGGCCAACATGGTGAAACCTGTCTCAACTAAAAGTACAAAAATTAGCTGGATGTGGTAGTGGGCACCTGTAATTCCAGCTACTTGGGAGGCTGAGGCAGAAGAATTACTTGAACCCAGGAGGTGGAAGTTGCAATGAGCCAAGATCATGCCACTGCATTCTAGCCTGGGTGACAGAGCAAGACCCTCTTGCAAAAAAAAAAAAAACAAAAAACAAGAGAAGAGAAAAAAAGAACAGCTTTTTCACCATGATGAAGGGAAAGAAGAGGGGAGGAGACCCAGTTTTGCCCAATGCCCCACTCAAGGTGCCAGAGAAAACACGTGGCTTATCTGGGCTGGGTTGCAGTGATAAAGCAGACCTTTTTATCAGAAAAGGTACTTTCCCATCTCTGGGAATTTGCTCATGCTGTCCTACCCCTCTTTCATCTGCTCAGACTTCATCAGTTGTTAAGGCCATATTAAGATCTATATCCTCCAGAAGATTTCAACTTTCTCTTTTTCCTGACTGCCCACAGCATTTCTTGTGTGCAAAAATTTTGGCCTTTGGCTCATATTCAATTGAGGAGTTTAAGTCTTTCCTGCTGTTTAAGTGTTGCCTCCTAACAGACATCATAAATTTCTGGATGGTGGTCCAGAACAGCACTTGACACATAGTCTAGGCTCCAAAAATACTTGAGTTGGATGAATGCTCCTGGATGGCTGCCCCACCCTGTGCCCATGTGTCTTTACAGTGTGTTCTACTCACCTTGAGAAGCTTCTCTTGCATCTCAAGGGCTTTTGCTTCTCTCTGCTCTATCCAGCGGGAAAGAGTACGCAGGGCAGCAGCCCGTGTTGGAATTTGGGGATCATAAGCCGATAAAAGAACCTCTTGGAGCTGTTCTGTGGTTATGATTCCAGATTTCTCGCTTATAGTAGTGCTGGGCTCATTGACTCCTTGAGGAGTGACTGGAGCATCTGATTGCAGACCTGTCTGGGGGGCTATTCCATGGCTCTGCTGTTGTTCAAGGTGGCTATGAGCTACATCAGTGTGTCTTTCATGACTGCTTTGTTGCGGCTCTTCTGTTTTCCCTTCTGGATCTTTTTTGTTCAATGTACTTTGGGCAGCCATGCTGACGGCCTCAGTGGCAAAGGCTCCATGGGTAGAGATGGTGATGCGGAGATCAACAGCGAGTTCTTGGATGACAGGATCAGGGTATGTGTTGGATACCTTCTCCAACAGAGGCAGCAAGCTGCTTCAGAACAGCAAAATCACTTGACTTCAACTACAAAATGAAGTAAAAAATGCCAAACCCAAATTAACATAGCAAATGTCAATATGACCTGAGCACCAGGAAAAATATTCTGAGAAAAAGGGGCAGGGATCAAATCTTGCTCAGGGTGTAATCAGTGTATTACCTGGGTGCAGCACTCAATACTATCTGTTGAATAATCAAACCTTACATATATTGAACACTTATCATGTGCAGGTTCTTTTCAGAGATCACACACACACATATACATGCACAGAGGCACACAGGCACATATTCATATTCCTATCATGTAATGACTATTATTACCTACATTTTAAACAGGTGGAACAGAACAGTTAAATAACATGTCCAAGGTCACAAACTGGAAGATAGTAAGATGTGAACTCAAGAAACTGGGATTAGAGTCCACATTCTTACCCAATAGCCTACACAGTATTACACAATGTGTACGGTATTGGGTAAGAATGGGGACTCTAATCCCAGATCTACACTTTAGATCAAGTAGTAAAGAACAGCTTTATCCCTCGAAAAGATAAAGCTGTTCTTAAGCTACATGATCTGAAGTGGCTGGTTAGTATACAAGTGCACCATAGATCTGGAAGGAAGGGATCAGGGAGACAACAGGCAGAAAGGGATTTCTTCTGGAAAATGGAAGTGAAAATTATATAACATTTTATTCTTCATGGAAGCTTTGTCCGAATAATGTCATATGCTTTACTAGTAAGAAAGGTGCATGAGTGCTACAGCTCTTTTAGAATTTGCCTAGCAGGTTTCCTGGTCTTCACTGGAAAGTGCCCCCCTCACCCACTGCCACGCAAAGGTGTATGTGCAACCAGTGAAAAGTAAGAATCGGCCATGTGCAGTGGCTCACACCTATAAATTCCAGCACTTTTGGAGGTCAAGGCGGGAGGATCAACTGAGGTTGGGAGTTCGAGACCAGCCTGACCAATGTGGAGAAACCCCATCTCTGCTAAAAAAAAAATACAAAATTAGCCAGGTGTGGTGACACATGCCTGTAATCCTAGCTACTCTGGAGGCTGAGGCAGGAGAATCACTTAAACCCAGGAGGCGGAGGTTGCAGTGAACTGAGATTGCATCATTGTACTCTAGCCTGAGCAACCAGAGAAATCCCATCTCCAAAAAAAAAAAAAAAAAGAAAAAAGAAAAGAAAAGTAAGAATCAATGGTAATATTTTTCTGTTTGAAAACACTGGAAAAATTATCAGATGAGGCTTCATGAGGCCCTAAAAATTTGAATACCTTAAGGATCTTAAATTCTTTTTATTTTTTTCTTTTCCTTTTGGAAATGGAGTCTTGCTTTGTTGCCTAGGCTGGAGTGTAATGGTGTGATCTCAGCTCACTACAACCTCTGCCTCCCAGGTTCAAGTGATTCTCCTGCCTCAGCCTCCTGGGTAGCTGGGATTACAGGTGCCCACCACCACGCCTGGTTAATTTTTTGTATTTTTTGGTAGAGGTGGGGTTTCACCATGTTGGCCAGGCTGGTCTTGAACACCTGACCTCAAGTGATCCACCTGCCTCAGCCTCCCAAAGTGCTGGGATTACAGGTGTGAGCCACCACGCCTGGCTTAAATCCTTTTTAGAAGAAGGAAGAGTATTCACTACTTAACTATTCATTCACTCACTTCATTATCCAACCAACCAATCAATTAACCAACTAACCATTTTTGTAGAACCTAGATAACTTCTTATTTTACACTGTAAGTCCACAGATTTGTTACTGTTCATTGTTTCTACCACTGTCCTCCAAGTAAATGAAGATTTAAGGTAGATGTCAGGTTTGTATCTTAGAGTTTCAAGTATACACTCAGATTGCTTTGTTTACATATTTACTAATGCAAAATCAACATATGGTAGAATTTCTACCTTCACAGAATGTAAGTTTTTCTTCATGTGCAAAACAACTGACATTCTGAGGTTACCATATCTTAAGGGAAGAAGAGAGTACATTTACAAAGCAAAGACATATGTTATTTAAGAAAATTTTTTGGCCGGGCACGGTGGCTCAAGCCTGTAATCCCAGCACTTTGGGAGGCCAAGGCAGGTGGATCACGAGGTCAAGAGATCAAGACCATCCTGGTCAACAAGGTGAAACCCCGTCTCTACTAAAAATACAAAAAATTAGCTGGGCATGGTGGTGCGTGCCTGTGATCCCAGCTACTTAGGAGGCTGAGGTAGGAGAACTGCCTGAACCCAGGAGGCGGAGGTTGCGGTGAGCCGAGATGGCGCCATTGCACTCCAGCCTGGGTAACGAGCGAAACTCCGCCTCAAAAAAAAAAAAAAAAAAAAAAAAGAAATTTTTTTTTCTGGAATCTATGTGGCACTGGAACAAAATTGAGTGTAGGGTATTGGGTACACCCTATTTTTTTTTTTTTTTTTTTTTTTTTGAGATGGAGTCTAGCTCTGCTACCCAGGCTAGAGTGCAGTGGCATGATCTCAGCTCATTGCAACTTCTACCTACCAGGTTCAAACAATTGTCCTGCCTCAGCCTCCCCAGTAGCTGGGATTACAGGCACTTGCCACCACACCCAGCTAATTTTTTGTATTTCAGTAGAGATGGGGTTTCACCATGTTGGCCAGGCTGGTCTGGAACTCTGAACCTCAGGTGATCTGCCCACCTCGGCCTCCCAAAGTGCTGGGATTACAGGTGTGAGCCACCGTGCCCAGCTGAGATATCTTCAAATAATTTTACTTATTATCATTATGCTAAACTTCATTCAGTGCCTCTGTTGTATTGTGGACTTTTTTTTTTTTTTTTTGAGACGGAGTTTCGCTCTTGTTACCCAGGCTGGAGTGCAATGGCGCGATCTCGGCTCACTGCGACCTCTGCCTCCTGGGTTCAGGCAATTCTCCTGCCTCAGCCTCCTGAGTAGCTGGGATTACAGGCATGCGCCACAATGCCCAGCTGATTTTTTGTATTTTTAGTAGAGACGTGGTTTCACCATGTTGACCAGGATGGTCTCGATCTCTTGACCTCGTGATCCACCCGCCTCGGCCTCCCAAAGTGCTGGGATTACAGGCTTGAGCCACAGTGCCCGGCCATATTGTGGACTTTTTTTTAAAGCATCTAAAATGAGAATATTTACTGTTATCTGTGTCTATTTAGCCTCTCATTCATTTATCTTCTATATAACAATTTCCTCTAAAATAAAAACCAGCCAAGACAAATAGATCAACGGAACAGAATAGAAAGGCCAGAAACAGACCCACATAAATAGAGTCAACTGAACTTTGGCAAAGGAGCAAAGGCTTTAAATGGAAAAAAAATAATCTTTTTTTTTTTTTTTTTTTTTTTTTTTTGTGAGACAGAGTTTCACTCTTGTTACCCAGGCTAGAGTGCAATGGCGCGATCTCGGCTCACCGCAACCTCCGCCCCCTGGGTTCAGGCAATTCTCCTGCCTCAGCCTCCTGAGTAGCTGGGATTACAGGCACGCGCCACCATGCCCAGCTAATTTTTTGTATTTTTAGTAGAGACGGGGTTTCACCATGTTGACCAGGATGGTCTCGATCTCTTGACCTCGTGATCCGCCCGCCTCGGCCTCCCAAAGTGCTGGAATTACAGGCTTGAGCCACCGCGCCCGGCCCAAAAATAATCTTTTTTTAAAAATTGGAACAAGTGTCAGTAGAAAAGACTTTTTTTCAACAACTGGTGCTGGAACAACTGGCATGCACGCGCAAAAAAACAAACAAAAAAAAACTAGACACAGACCTTGCACCTTGCACAAAAATTAACTGGAAATGGATCATAAACCTAACTGTAAAATACAAAACTATAAAGTGCCTACAAGTTAACATAGTAGAAAATTGAGATAACCTCTTAAAAGCAACGACCTTTGGCTGGGTGTGGTGGCTCACGCCTATAATCCCAGCACTTTGGGGAGGCCGAGGCGGGTGGATACAAGGTCGAGAGATGGAGACCATCCTGGTCAACATGGTGAAACCTCATCTCTACTAAAAATACAAAAATTAGCTGGGCATGGTGGTGTGTGCCTGTAGTCCTAGTTACTCGGGAGGCTGAGGCAGGAGAATTGCTTGAACCCAGGAGGCGGAGGTTGCAGCTGAGATCACACCATTGCACTCCAGCCTGGGTAACAAGAAGTGAAACTCCATCTCAGAAAAAAAAAAGCAATGACTTTTTTTTTTTTTTTTTTTAAAGACGAGGTTTCACCATGTTGGTCAGGCTGGTCTTGAACTCCTGACCTCAGGTGATCCGCCCGCCTTGGCCTCCAAAGTGCTTGGATTACAGGCGTGAGCCACCACGCCCGGCCAATGACATTTTAAATACAACATCAAAGGCACAATCTATGAAACAGTTAATAAACTAGACCTTATTAAAGTTAAAAATGTCTGCTCTGCAAAGGAAACTGTCAAGGGAATGAGAAGACAAACTACAGAATGAGATAAAATAATTGTAAAAGACGTATCTGAAAACGAACTAAGATCTGAAATACACAAAGAACTTTTAAAGCTCAAGAATAAGAAAATGAGCAACCTGATTTTAAATGGGCAAAAGGCCTAAACAGATAGGTCTACCAAAGAAGATATACAGATGACAAATAAGCACAGGCAGACATATTCAATGTCATAAGTCATTAAGGAATTGCAAATCTTTTTTTTTCTGAGACAGACTCTTGCTCTATTTCCTAGGCTGGAGTACAGTGGCACAATCTTGGTTTACTGCAACCTCCACCTCCCAGGTTCAAGTGATTCTCCTGCCTCAGCCTCCTGAGTAGCTGGGACTACAGGTGTGGCCACCATGCCTGGCTAATTTTTGTATTTTTAGTAGAGACAGGGTTTTGCCATGTTTCCCAGGCTGGCCTCAAACTCTTGACCTCATGTGACCTGCCTGCCTTGGTCTCCCAAAGTGCTGGGATTATAGGCGTGAGGCAACGTGCCCAGTGGGAACTGTAAATTAAAACTACAATGAGATGTCACTATATACCTATTAGAATAGCCAAATCCAAAACAGTGACAACACCAAATGCCGGTGAAGATGTGGAACAATGGGAACTCTCATTTGTTGCTGGTGGGAATGCAAAATAATATAGTCACTTTGGCAGAGAATGTGGCAGTATCTTACAAAATTAAATACACTCTTACCATGTGATCCAGGGATTGAACTCTTTGCATTCTAGATCTTCAGAAGCACTTGGATCAAATGCTTGAAAGAACTGAAAACTTACGCCCACACAAAAACCTGCTCATGGTTGTTTATAGCAGCTCTAGTCATAATTGCCAAAACCTGAAGCAACCAAGATGTCCTTCATTAGGTGAATGGATAAGTAAACTGTGGTATATCCGTACAATGGACTATTACTCAACACTAAAAATAAATGAGCTAGCAAGCCATGAAAAGACACTGGAGGAACCTGAAATGTATATTACTAAGTGAAAGAAGTCAATCTGAAGGGCTATATGTTGTATGATTCCAACTATATGTGGTGAAACCCTGTTTTTACTAAAAATACAAAAATTAGCCGTGTGTGGTGGCACATGCCTGTAATCCTAGCTACTCGGGAGGCAGAGGCAGGAGAATGGCTTGAACCCAGGAGGCAGAGGCTGTGGTGAGCCAAGATCGGGTAACCACATTCCAGCCTGGGCAACAGAGCAAGACTCCATATCAAAAACAAAAACAAAAAAACTGAGGATGGATTGCTAGGGCTTGGATTTAAGATAGTGGTTGTGGAAGAGACCCTGCCCTCTACAAAGAAGCTTATCAGAACCTGGATGGAGGCAAGAGTAGAGCATGTGTATATTAAAAAAAACAAACAAACAAAAAACA